AAATTAAGGCAAATTACCCGCATGGTTAATCAATCGTTTAACAAGAGTTATTGGACCAAAAATGATGAAAAAACTCCACAAAGCATCACTCAACTATCCGGAATGGAAAAGCGCCAATCGGCCTTCATGGAAACCATGGATTTATCCGGAACAACAGGTTGACGCATTAAGCGAATGCAGATCGCATTTCGAGAATCATTTTGAGTGTATCTTAATGATTGATAGACACCGGCGAAAGTGAACCGTATCGAGCGATTTTGATCGAATTTATCGGAGTCATTGAAACGCTCGGCGATTGCAGATGAACATGGAACGCATCAAAATGTCCGACTGTAAAGCGTGTATTTACGAACAAGAACTGATCGACGAGAGTTGTGTGGACGTGAAGGACTTGAACGACGATGAGAACAGTGGTGATTAGTTCGATGAACTGATCGGCTGATTTCGATTCAACGACAACTGGCAATTGAATTGTATCGCTGAGTGATTCTTATAGGGGATTTGCGACGTGCGCTCAATACAGTACACATCATTTAGATCGCCTTATCCAACTATTCCGTTCATTTTAAATGAATTAAATTTTAAAAAAGAATTNGTTCAAACGAACATCAAGAAAATAAATTTAAAATTTTTGCGAGAACAACAAGAATTTCGCGAGCTCAATGAATTCAAACAGAATCTTTACATTAGGATATAATTAAAGAAAAAGGAATGGAGTATTGTGCAGCATAAGAACGTTGCATTTTGCTTGTGTGTCGTTGTGGTTGTTTGTGATTCGTTCGTCGATCTGTTTCCTTGTTCATTTGTGTCAAAACTGATAAAATAATGAATGCATGCGGAATGCAGTGAGTACGCATCGTGTGATGATTGTTATAGATGTGAACAGCGAGGCACGCAACAATACCAGAAAGTGGTCCGATGATATTTCACAATAAGATGGATTGCGCGAAGAATTCTAAAAGTTTTATTCTCAACCGACCAGTCGATTCGGCTCATTGCTCAGAGGTGATGGGCCGAATCGACTCATGAGTCTAGCCTTAATTCTACGGCTAATAAAAAAGTAACTTCTGAATTCCAAACATCAACAAGGTCACAATGCGATTTTTTCAGAATTCCCACTTGACCACCGACGATATTTATCGCATTCGTTCGTTATATTGTAAAATTTTCGACGAGCACAGCAACCAGGTGTGACCAAAATTAACTCAAAGTGAATAACAAACCTTAAAATGAATAATTTCTCAAAAATTATGGATAAATTCGCTAATCTCAGCAAACGTTCACAAAGACATTGGAACAAAAATGATGAACCATCAATAAATTCGACCAAATATAGACCCAAAGAAGGAGCAAGCACTTCGACGAAACAATAGAATAAGCGAAGAGATTTAGGAGAAAGCTGTAACGAAGGAGTAGGAAATTCTTGTTGATTCTTATCGATGACCGATAATTGCGTCGATGAGTGAAAATAATATAAAGTTAAAACAACTTGAAGTTTGATAATGATGGTTTGCAATTCAATTAGCAAAAAAACAACAGAAGCAATTCAATGAGACATTAATTTTACTCACAAAAGCAATCACTATCGGACGAATCTTCAGTTTTGAAATTCATTCATCCATCGAGTGTTTACTGTAATATTTCGACTGCTGATTTGAACATATTATGTCCAAACACATACACATATTCTTGTAACGGAGAAAATTCATTTCCCACCACATTACCGAACAAAATTTCTTGTCCCGTTTTACTAGAATGCATTTGATGACAATTCATATCAAATGCGACACATTGCGACAGTATTTACCTCTATATGTAAACTCATTACTGCTGAACTGTTGGAATCGAAC